TGCTAAGACAGCTTTCCCAGGGTCACCCTGAACATATGGTCTTGTGCTGGAGAACAAACTGTAGTATGAAAAAGCATCCTTGTGATATAGACCTGGGTCAAACAAGGGTTTTCTTTTGTGTTTTGCTTATTTTGTTTTTGGTTTTTTGTTGTTGCTGAGGGAGAGAGATGTTTTTATATACTCTGAGGTAATGATCATTTCAATATTAGCTGAGTTCAAGCAAAGTTGTTTATTATCTCACCACATTAAAAAAAAAAGAATAAAAGGAAAGAAAGAAAAAAAGAAAATCCCTGGTGTTTGAGTTGAAATGAGTTGCTTGCTCCCTGGGTGTATCTTGCTCTTGTGGAGCATGGGATGTGCAGCCAGAAGTACAGACTTTGTCAAACTCTCTGAAGCCAGAAGATGTGTGGCTCCACTGTGAGTGGCATGGTGTCCTGAAGGACACACTCATTGTGGACATGATGAGACAGCGTGACCTCCTGTCATGCTATTTGTCTGTTTTCATCCTTTGTCCCCTGTACTCAGTAAGCTGACATCGTAGAGTGTTTACAACACTTTTGGAGAGGTTCATGGGAATCTTGATCCAAGGGAGGAGCTGTCCCTGGGTCAACTGAGACATTTTGATAGAGTCTCTAATTGAAACATAGAGAATTTCATTTTGAAATTGGGAGCAATGATACCAGATTTAGTTCAGCACATTTTTCATAACTGCATTTGCTTATGTGAATTATGTTGTAAAATTACTTTTGTAGTTTGAATTGGTGCTTTCAGCAAAGTTGCATAGTGCAAAGGATTCAGTTCAGAAATGTGAGTTTGAATGTAAGTGGAAACAGATTATATTGTAAAATACCACTTAAGTTATAAAATGTCCAAGGTGGAATTTCACTTTAAGCTATATTGTTCCTGGTTTTGCGCTTTTCAAATAGCATATTCTCAAGTTAGTGGGTGGGCAGAAATTTGTTTAATCATCTAATCTGTTGTAAGATAACATTGTTAGCTCAATGATGTGGAAGTATGATCATTAGTAATATATATAGATGTGTGACTTTTTACCAAGTGATAAAACCTTGGAACTGATAATCTGAGCACATACTGGGTAGCTGGTGTTCTGTTGGGGTGGGACATCTGTTATAGCACTAGATATTTTTACTTTTACCTCTGAACAGCTAGCTTGAAATGTGTGTTTCAATTTGTTTTAGATTTTTAAACAAAATGTGAGTACTTCGTGCTTATACTATCCTTATGGTTTTTATTATACTGGGTATCAAGTTTAGCATAATAGGTGGACGTTTTCCTTGAATGAATGTGTAGTCTAATTGCATTTAATGCCTTGACCAGTTTTACAGACAAGTATATTTGACTACCATTGACTACTAAATTTTTTTCTGTATTCTAGAAGTTGTGATTATATTGCTACCAGCATGGTAATCAACTCAGAAGTAAATGTCCAAATGATCCAAATATTTTTCATGGACCGTTATGATATAAATTTTTTTTTCCTGCTGTGTTTGCTCCAGGTTAATATTTATGCTGGCACCTCCTCAGGTTTATTTCTTGAGTTTATATTATGGATTAAAATAATTACCTATATAATAAATGGTACTTTAGGAGCTATCTTTTCACAGTAGGTTAAATATCTCATGGCTTCTGTGATATGGGAAACCCAAAATATAATTTATAGAGAAAATAAAAGATAAATGATAGGAAACAAGATAGGCTGTGGATTTGAGAGTGAGCTGTGCATACAGGGGTAAGACGGGAGAAAACTGAGAGGAAGGACAAGTAAAAAGGACCAAGAGATGGTGTATATAAACATCCATTCCCTACAATTAGTCCATTTATTATGTGCATAAGTACATACTAATTAAAATGTTTTAAAATTATACAAATAAAAAGTGGGATAGATTAAATTAAGAAGCTTCTCCACAGCAAAAGAAACAATAGAGTGAAAGACAACCTCCAGAATGAGTCAAAACTTTTGCTCTCAAGCCCTCTGATAAAAGAATAATATCTAGATATCTAAAGAACACAAGAAAATTAACCACCCTCAAATATCAAAATCTTAAAAGTGGACAAACTAAATAGACACTTCTCAAAAGAAGTACAAATGACCAATAAATACATGAAAAAAATGTTCATCATCTTTAGTCATTACAGAAGTGGAAATCAAAACAACTCAGATTCCATCTTAGCCCAGTCCAGGATGGCTATTGTCAGAAACCTAAAACAGCAAATGCTCGTGGGGATGTGGAAAAAAGGCAACTTTTCTGCATTGTTGGTGGGGATGTAAACTACTACAGGCAATGCAGAAATCAATACAGCAATTTCCTAAAAAACTAAAACTAGAAATTCCATTTGATCCAACTGTACATTTCCTGGGTATTTGCTCAAAGGAGTTAGAGACACCACACCATAGCAATCTATGCGTATCATATTTGTAATAGAACAATTAATGATAGCTAAGCTCTGAAAAAAACCTAGATACCCATCCAAAAATGAAAGAATAAAGAAAATGTGATATATTTACACAATGGAATCTTACTGAGTCATAAAGAAAAAAGAAATCATTTGCAGGAAAATAGATGGATCTTGAGACCACAATGTTAAGTGAAATAAGTCAGACACAGATAGTTAAATAGCATGTGGCTTCTGTTATATACAAGAAATCCAACATATAAACTAATTAAAGAGTAAAATGAAAGATGGTAGGAAAAAGGGAGGCAGATTTATGAGGATGGGTAAGAAGACCAGAAGAAGGGGGAGGAAGGAGGCTTGGGAAGTGAGTTAAAGGATCAAAAATGATGTAGTTGTAATTTATATGTGTACCAGCTCTTCCAAATAAATGTAACTATTATGTGTTGTAAGTGTACATTAGAGAAAGAGAAGCTAATCATGATAGACGTGAATAACTCTACATAGACCAAAGTTCTAAAGGTAAATGCAAAAGCAATAAATGCCTCAAAAAGAAATCACAGGGGTAAACCTTTATGACCTTGAACTTGACAGAGAACTTCTAGATATGGTTGACACCAAAAAGAAATAACAGACTGCAATTCATAAAAATTGTAAACTTTTTGCAAAAGAGAGTCCAACCAAGCAAGTGACTGAACAACCATAGAATGGGAGAAATATTGGCAAGTCATTTATCTGTAAGTGTTTACTAAATGTGGTAAGATGTTCCAAATCATCCACTATCAGAGAAATGCAAATTAAACCCACAAGATATTATTTCCAACACACTGGGAAGACCAGTGAAATAAAAAATAAAAAATGAAAACTAACAAGTGTTGGGAATCATGTGGAGAAATCAGAACCCCCAAGCACTACTGCTGGGAACATACAATGGTCCAGCTGTTTGGAAAACTGTCTGGCAGTTGCTCAAACAATTCAACCAGATGACCCAGAAAGTCTCCTAGGAATATACTCAAGAGCAATACAAATGTATGTCTAAATAAAACCTCATATACAAATGTTTACCACAACATTATGTATAATAACCAAAAGGTAAAAACAACACAAATGTCCATCAACAGACAAATGGGTAAATAAAATATGGTATATTCATACAATGGAATAATATTCAGGCACAAAAATGAATCATGGGTACATGCTAAAATATTTCTGGACATTGAAAGCTGGAAATGAAAGAAATTCATCACAAAATATAACATACAGCATGGTTCCATTCATATGAAAGTCCAGAACAAGGAGATCTATGAGACAGACATTAGATTAGCAGTGCATAAAGCTGGAGTAGAAGCATAAATGGGAGGACTAGAGGAGTTCAAACAGTACATTTTTATTTGAGACCATAAAAATTTAATGCTTAAAATTTATTGTAATGATGGTTGTATATATCTGTGAATATACTAAAATATGCTGTTGTAACAGACTAACATTTTAAATGGGCGAGTTGTGTGGTACATGAACTGTATTTCAGTGGAGCTGTTCAAAGTGCACTATGATTCTAATTTATAAAACAAAGAGGCATATATCTTAAATAACACTCTTGCACAGCTATGAAAATAATCAGGCTGAGCCTTATGAGCTTAGCAGGATTTTTAATTAAGAATATTTTAAAAAATTGTTATAATCAGAACAATAGGAGATTATAAAAAATTACAAGATTTGAAATAGACATATGTAATCCTCCCTGATATATTTGCATTCAATATGTAATATACTCTTTATATATATGGTATAGATGACATTTCTATTGCTTTCTAATGTCCCCTTCTGAGTTATTTCTATTACTTTGAGATATTTTATTAATGTTAGTTGTAGAAGATTTATACTAATGCACATTTTTTTCTTAATCACAGAAATACAAATTATTTAGTAAATTGTAACTGATAGAGTAGTTTTACCTTTATTCATTTCCGTTCATATGCTGAAACATATACAAATTTTTAATTTTCCTTTGAGTGATGATAACACATTATTGGTTCCCTTATTAATTCAACAAAATTTTGATACAATTTCATTTTTCATTTGTATAAGTCATGAATTTGCCATCTTTATAAAATTATCTTTAATAGCAGTCTGGTGGTGCACACCTGTATTTTGGCACTATGGAAAGCTGAGGCAGGAGGATTACAAATTGGAGCCCAGTTTAGGCAACTTAGAGAGATCCTGTCTCAAATTTTTAAAAAATTGAGGATAGGGATCTAGCTCAGTGTGGAGGCCTTGGGTTCACTCTCCAGTACCACAACAAAATAATTGTATTTAATATTTTTCTTGCTTTTCTTTCTAGTTTTTAATATAAAACTACACAAAGGAATAAAGGTGATAAATTCTTAATTTTTCCTATATATAAACAACTTTTTTCTTATGACATCAGAAGGGATTTGCATATATTGTAGTTTGTTTGATTATTTAGTTTGAAAAAACAAATTCATAACTTTTTAAACTTAGTTAATTAAATTCAATTGTTGGCTTATTGAAGATTTCAAAGAAGATAATAAAGATATAGTCAGTGATTTTAAGAAGTGTTCACTGAATGCTATGGGAATTATTTTATTAATTAGATTATTCAACAGTCCAGTAAACATGAGTGAAGTCAACTTTAACTTGTAACTTTAGTGTTTTCATAAAATCAAACACAGACATATTTTAAGTAAGTATAACACAAATTGTTTTAATTAATCCGAGTAGCTTGAATAGTTTTAGAGATGTTTTTTTTAGCAGAAAAAATTTCAAATAAATTCACAAAAATGTATAAGCAATAAATACAGCACTACAGTTATCATTAATTCTATGTACATTGGATTATATGTGAACAAACACTAAATTCCAGAATAGTTTATTTATGAATAAACACACTACAAAATAACCTTTCAAAAAGTCAACAAAATAGAATTTTTAGAAAATTAAAATGTGGCTTTCACAAGGAATTGCAGAAAAATGGCAGATCAACATTTGAAAAGACAGAAATTCCCAAATTAGTTTTTGGATACCAAAGAAGTTCAGTTTTTAAAAGTATCAGGTTTAATTATTTTTAAAGAGTGATGAAAAGATCTTAGCACTTCAAATTTATAGAAGTCTAATATTTAAAAATGTTACTCTTAAAAACATATAGGTGCAAAACTAATACTGATAGATCACAGACTGGCTGTCATATCTGAGAGTTGTGTAACAGCCCAACAAAAGAAGTCTCATCTACACTTAATCTGACCAAAGTAGATTGAAAAGTAACTTGAAAATTGCAATATCATTTTAACACTCTCTCTGATAATCTGACATTTTTTAACTATTGTGGCACTGCTGAATTACATAAACACTATCAGCAAAGGATATGAGTCTGGGTCTTTGAATAATAACTAAAATTCAGTTTATTAAAAGAAATTTTTGTGTAATTTAGGCACTTGAAAGTTCAAAACAGCTTGTGTTTCTATGATAGGTTTTTATGAGACCCATACATTTGAAACTAAATGCCTTTACATGTGTAGGTAAATTATAAGTTGTAAATACATTTAACACAGCATTTAATATGTCAATTCTAATTTAAATAATTTCCCTGACAATTTCTATTAACCGTTCAAGAAATGATTTAGGTGACTAAGCCACTAATTTAATCTATTTTTGGCTGTCTGACACACTTCAAAATACATCCACATTACTTCTCCCAAAATTGACTCTTATTGTTTGAAGTCACTATTGTTTTTCAGAGATTTCAGTGGAAAAATAACATTAGAAAAACTGAATCCCATTTAAAGGTCAATTTAATTTATTATCAAGGTTATCTCCCAATGTAATTATTTTGCAAATACCTGACAATTCTTTGCAATTCATAGATATTCAAGTCTTTCACTGGTTTGTGTTATTATATACAGAAGCCTATTAAAATATTAAAGCTTGCATATTATATAGAGAGAGTGTTCCCCTAGGTTTTATTTTTTTAATAATCTGGGACCTTTTCAATACTATACATCATCATATAGTAAGAGTCATTAAAATAGTATTTTAATGGAATAAAATCCATTGACAAGTTATTACAGTAGTTGGTTTAAAATTTCTGAATTAGAATGTGAGTTCATCTTCAAAATAACAGGAGAAATGCATCATGCATACCTACTGTTAAGGTATGAATCATCAAAGCTGTTATGTCAATAAAATAATGGCTTTGAATTTTTAAAATAAATATTTTATATCTTATCATAAATGTACTATTTTTTTAGTTCTCAAACTTCTGATGCTGGCATCTGGTTGTCCTTAAAATATTTATGCAATATAGAATTCCAGACTCTATTTTATTATAAAAATTAGCCCAGATACAGTATCAGACATTAACATGCATACCTTGTTTCATTATGTATCTGCCTTTTTAAAAAATTACCTTGGTTATGTATATTTGACATCAGACAAAAAAATAATAGAATATTTACAAGCTAATTTTCATAAAAATCTTTTGATTTTTACAAACGCCAAAGGTAATAAAAAAATCCTTCATTGATTTCCTTCATGTAAAATGATTGTTAATTTGCCTACACAGTAAAAATGGAAGGGGCAAAGTTTCTATCTACAGACACAGGGAAACTGACCCCCCACCCCCCACTTGTGTAGTAAGACAGGAAAGTAATTGACTAGGTGTTTTGTGGCATCAACCAAGATATCTACCTAATGATACAGAAATAAGACTGCATATCATACATTCACCAAGTTGCAAAAGTGGATTTGTCTCAGGATGTAACTGTGATATATCAGGAAATGAGGATGTAGTTCATTCCAATTCCGCTGTTGCTTTTTTTTTTTTACAGAAAAGAGAGTCAACCAACGAGAATAATTAACTCTTTGATGCATTTGAGAAGGTATTACAAAAATGAGTAGAGTACTTTCTGGGCAAATGAAATTCAATTGCACCAATGAAAATTGGATAATGATTTTTACAGCCCACAAACCGAAAGTAAAATTTCCTTCCATGTCTGTAAGCCTAAGCTAGGTCTCCTTATGAAACAAGAGTAGGGTCACACCCAGTGTGTGTGTACAAACCTTTATAGTTGTATTCATAGGTTAATTCATGCAGCGATATGCTGGAGGTGACACACATCAGCTTACAAGAGTTGACTGTGCTCTCTCTTTCCCCAGTTTCACATCCAGTTGTGTCAAATTGGCACTTTGAAATAAACCGTAGGGGGAGTATTTACTGTCATACGTAAGCCAGGATCTCCCCCAAGCATACAGCTAATTGTTAAACAATTAACATAATGCTCCTTTCATTTGAGGTCTTTCTTTATGGTGCTCAAGAAATGCATTTAATACTGAAGTCTTCTGACTGTAAATTATGGGTCCAAGTCCTTGAGTTAGGGGTGGCACAAAATAGACAACGATCACCCTATTTTCATACAACTAAATTGTATAACTTTTCTGGCTTTAGGACAACATTGTCAATATCGTGGATGCTTTTCCCATTTAGCTGCTCACTGGGACAGTCATGACTAAAACCCGGCACGTCACTGATTGTCGACACCGTGTAAGATGCACTGCGCAGCGCGTCTGAGTGGGAAAAGCTGTTTCCAAACTGGATTTTGTATTGATTCCAGTTTCTTCTCAGAATTGCTTGAACCTATCAATTAACAAACAAAAAATCCAGAAAGAACAAGAGGAATCCATTAATGGAAATGAATATATTACATGTGAAGCACAATAAAATACATTTTGTGGAAAAGCTTTATTTTAAAGTTGGTGTGAGTGAATAATATTGCTTCCTTTTCTTATTTAATTAAAAATTAATCTAAGTAAATAATCATTATATTAGTTTATATATCATGATTATTCTATACATAAGATGTTAGTCATATTTTATTCCATGTCTTGTCTTTGAAGCTTTAATAATACACATGTATGTATCATCAAATGGAACTAATCCAGATCCCCATATAGAAAGTTACACATACATCTAGTTTTGAGTCAATATATTTATTAATAGAGTGAGATGATGAGTAGTGATAGCATAAAAGAATAAGAGAAAGGTACAACATAAGGACAAGTTAAGGGTACAGGGACTGTAAGACATCATCATCATCATCATCACGTGGAGCAGCAACCTGTCATCGGATGATTGCCTTTTGCAAGAAAATGAAAGAGCAGGGTATTTGTTCTCCTAGAGTTTACTCCCCAGAGCAATGACAGGTGCAGAATAATAGTTACAAATGGGATGAATTTTGTGGAAAGTGTTTAGGTATGTCACTTCATGTCTATATACTTGGATCCTCCTTTCCTTGAATGAGTTTGAGGTTTAATGTTTCTTCTTTTCTCTTTGTAACTAGAGATCAAGCCTATGTAGGTCACATTTAGTGACTAGTTTTAATTGAATTTAAGGCTCTCAAAAGACATTCTTCCTTTGGAGTCACTACGTACAAAGGAGAATTATTCAGATACATCTGGAACTGGGTTGTCTGGACATCTGCAGGTCTGATGAGCACTGGAGTGGCTTGGAACAGCCTGCTGCTTGGTTGCAAGCATATTAAACCAATCCCTGTGGCATGATCTACATCTGCCCGAAGTCTGCATTGTTTTAATCATCTTCTCCAAGGTTTCTTATGATGTCTGACCCTTTGATTACTGTCCCCAGGGAATGTATCTAAAAGTTAATTTCCAGTAATCTATGTACTATAAACATATTTATGCACTAATTTCTTAACTTTCTTCTATTTATATAGAATCCCTCAACTTTATATTCATGTATACAAATCACTGTTAAGTCTTTCAAAATGAGTACTTATTCCTTTTCATTCCCTCCTCCAAATTACATGCATTCTATAACAAATACAGATCCTTGGGATACCTGCAGGTCCCTGTGATAAAGTCTCCTATACTCTATCACCTACACTGAACCCAGTCTTACGATTTTACTTTATGTAGTAGCATGAAGAAAAACAGGAAGAGTCAAATATAGAGTCAGCAATTTCTTGAGGTAGAACTAAAACTCAGTTACTAAAATTTCTTTGTAGCCTCTTCCTACAATTTGAAAAATACATAAGTACTATGCTATAATGTGGTTTTAAATTTTATATCATGAACTCAGCAGCTGAGAACTTTAAACCTGATTTATATTGTACAGTTATAAAAAGCAAGGAAATGATTTCTATCCATATCAACATGCATTGAAAATGAAAACATTTACAGAACAATAGGTGTATTTCAAAATTATACTTCCCCCCTTTTGATTTGATAATTCTAAATCTTCCCAAGAAAATATATAAACTAAAGTAACTTAAAAATAATACCTACTTATGTAATATATTTAAGAACATAAGCAAATGGTAAATGGGAGGGGGTTAGATTTTGAATTTTAAGTAAATATGAACAGATTTAAAGCAATTATCTCCATATTTGTGAGGGAAATTATTTTGTAACATGATTTTTAATCCACTTAACATATTTCCCCCACTTTATCAACAGTGCTTGACTGTGTAAATCTACAAAGCTTTTAACTAAATAGAAACAGAAAGTAGCTTTCTGTAAAAAATTCTCTATAAATGCTGACAGGAAACATATTAGCTGTGAGACTGGTACTTGTAATCTTAAAAAGGAAAGCATTGATTCAATTCTAAAAGGCAAAATATCTTTTGAAATATTTGGAAGTATGCTCTTGAAATATATTTGATTAAGGTCACTACCCTATTTCTTCTTTGAAACTGAATCATCAGAAAAAACCATGGAAACCCAGTGTCCTGACCTCTGGGTTTTTATTTCTGAAATTTAAAATAAACCTAATTAAAGACAGAGCAGCCTTGAAGACTCCTGTTTGTTGATGTTATTCTTTATAAGGATGTCACATTTTTTATCTGGTTCCTCTAATGCAAGATCACACTTGGTCAAGAGAACATTAATGTGGCCACTGGAATGTAAATGAAAAAAACACTGAAGGGAAGATGTCCCAGAGTTATTAAAATATGAAGATGTATTTTGTTTCATTGTTTTATTTTTAAACACTAAATCAATAACAAATCAAAATATTTAGAATATAACATTAAGATTATATTAACATTTAGTTAGGAATCAAGTCTATTTGTTAGAATAGATCAGTAATAAGTTTTATAGAGCTTTACATAATAATTCTACCTTGTTCTCATTACAGAATGTGGGTTCAGTTGTTTTCAACAATTTTTGGCTTGCTTTACACAAATGGTCTATCTTCCATTGTTGGTAGATACTCTGATAACCGGAGTCCCAGCTGTTATCTGCACTTATTTCTGCCTCAGTGGATTAATCTCACTAGTGGATTAGGTGAGACAAAGTGGCCACAGCACTACTTGTCAAGCCGCAGTTATTATTGTAGTGAAAAACGGTACAGGAAGATGTTAGCTAAAAACTAAATGGAAAAAGTACAGATACTGGGTTTAAAGGCAATCCACTTATGCGGAAAGGAAGAAGGAACCCACACCTGGGCAAATGATTTTAGGAATGATTTTAGTTGGAACTGTGCAAAGTGAATTTGGCTGCTGCTTCTTTGTGTTATGAGAGTGGGAGAAACTCAAAGGCAAAGAAACAAAAAGGAAGGGATTGTAGTATTTCTTAAGATGAGAAATGACTCATGCTCAAATGAGGATTGTATCTCCAGAGATAAAGGAAAAGAGACAGATCTTAGGGATGTTGTGAAGAACTGAAGGATTTGGCAACTGCCTGGCTCAGAGATTTTTTATTATTGTAACTTCTAATGCCAAAATTTTCTCAATTTTAGGACATGGCATAAGATTAAGGCTCTGTGTCTCTCGCATTCACAGATAAAGTGTTATAAGAGTGTCAGGCATTAGTTTTGCCATTCCCTGGGCACCTTTTCTAAAAAGGACCAGCTTGAGATGCTGACTCCAATATGGTTAATGTTTCTATCTGCATGTGTATTTGTGAAGAAATTAGTTATTTGACGAATCTGATAATAAATCTATAATATACTGAGGATCTCATGAGGGAGCATTTGAAACAAACCTTACAATTACTGGTTTACAGGGAAGCTTGCGAGATTTGTGTGAGGGACTTGCTTTTGTAAGTATTTCTCTTTAGTAAGGGTAGACACATACTCCTAAGATCCGGACATTTCCCAAAATATAATAGCCAAGAAGAAAGTCACAACATTGGGGTTTCAATAAGTTGTTATGCTTATTTTACATGGACAAAATATTTTACTAGTGATGTTTAGAATATTTAAAAATTACATTTATGAAAATAAAATTTGTTTCTGGAGATACAGAGGAATACATTTCATATTTCATCCCCACTCTTTGGCCCGTATCCGTAGCCCTCTCTCTGCATCTCTGCATCTAGGATTGTCTGACTCTGTGTTCAGCGGTGCATTTACAGAGCTGCATGATAAAGGCTTTTCTAACTTTATTATGAAAAATTTATCTATTCTTTGTAATATTATTGTCTGTATATATTTCCCATTGATTTTAGCAAAACAATCCTTCTTGTGTTTGGTATAGAAGAATTATGGGAGCACCACATAAAGGTGTGAAATGTAGTCTACTATGATGATTCTACACATTATTATAAATAAATATGTATATTTTGAAATTAAAATATTTTCTAATTTTTAAAGTTAAGAAATACATTTCAGTATATGGCAAGACAAAGAAGTAAAATTTTCCTTAAGCAAAGGAAAATTATTTTTGATAGTTTTTCACAACATGTACATCATTTCAAATATTGATTTGATTTACAGGAATGATTTGCTTTATACTCATAAAAGTGACGCATGGATCCACATGTTTCCCATATAAAGCTTTGTGATAACCTTTCTGCTTATCATTTGTCCATGTCTCATTTAGTTGCTCTCTGGATTTCTAAGCTTAGTTTTGCCAAAATTCCTCAAGGTAAAATTTGTCAAGTAGATTAGAAATATGTAAACAGTTACATCAATATTATTCAACTGTTGACCTCCAACAGTACTCGTCTGCACAAAAATAGAGTACTGGTTTTTAAAATTTCTGAAAACTATCAATTAGAGAGTCTTGGATAACAATCAAAAATTATCCAAAACACATTGTCATGTTATGAAAAACAGGATTGTCTTCTAATTTTCCTAACCCATGGCCTCTGCTCCCTGCTTAACTGAGTATTTAATTTGTGTTAACTTTTTGTATCCACTTTTCTAAAACTCTCATTTTGGAGCCAGCAAAAGAGGGAAAAGGAGGCCAGGGATTTAGCTCAAGTGGTTCCACTGCCTGCTCTGCAGGAGCAAGGAACTGAGTTCAATCCCCTGTACCAAAAATTAATTAATTAATTAATTAATTAATTAATTAAAAAAAGAGGGAAAAGGGAGGAATGAGCTCCCTTTCTCATTAGAATGTATTTTGTATGAAGTTAAGAATTTCCTAGCGCTGTACCTGGGACAAAGTCTCAATGCTAGGTCAAGAGACTAGATGAATAGAATTGATTGATAAAATATTTTAAAAGAGGGCTGACTTTTTATTAGCCTTAAACTTCAAAGTGACCTGACATTTTGAGAATGAAAGTTGCTCTTATGGAAAGTATTCTATGCCATTTTCTTTGATAAAGATGGTATTTGAAATCATTGCTTGTGAGAAATTTATAATTCAATCTCATTTAAAAAATAAATAGAATGATAAAAGGAATAAAATCCATCAACATACCTCTCCATTAAAAAAGCAGAAAATTGTAGAGACCAAAAGGCCCTGTAAAAGAAAATGGAATTATCTGAATTCAAACAAAGAAGATACATGTATTTGTAAGCAGGTTGCTACACAAGTAGCCAAGAAAGAAACCAAAAGTATATGCAAATTTAATACACATTTATTCCAGCTGCCATCTTGATGCTGAGAACATCATACCTGGAAGTGCATCAGGATGTGCATGATGTAGTCGTAAACCTCCTCAGCAATCCGTCCTTCAGGACGCCAGGGGAGAAGCACAAATTCGATGCCCAGCAATGGGACCAGGATAAGGGTAGCTCTCACAGCTTTCATGTAGAGATTGGATTCGGCCTGGTGTGTGACTTTTAACTTAGTGATGAGAACACGCACAATATTCAACAGGAAAAACAGATTCACCTACAAAGAAAAGAAAATGACATATGAAAATCATTTGGTATTGAAAAGCATGATTGGACCTGTAATTATATAATCTTAGAACGTATACAATGTGCAAGAGTATTCCCTGTTGAAGGATGTATTTCTCGAAGCTATTAATTTGATTTCTGGAATCGTGACTTGTTCACTTTACATCAATTTTAATGATTTTAATTTTTAGAAAAATAAAATTATGGTAGCCATATTGTAAAGTACATTCGGTTGTGAAATACTTGAGAGTTTTTATCAGCTCATTTTCTCATGCAATATTTTTGAATTTCTCTATTATCCAAAAACCTAGAGGATTTAAAAATTTTCAGCTCTAAGAATTACTTTAATGAATGTTAAGTTTTAGAGCAAAGCTTTTATATCAGTGTCTGTCTGGCATACTCTCCAAATAAACTACCATAGTGACTACTTTCAACCTTTTGGTTTATCTTTCCTGTGTTTCCTTATTAAATAGCCATATTTATGACAATTATTTTGTAACAATCCTACCACAGCTCTCCAAAATAATACCATAATCTTCTTTATCCTTATGAAGAAACAAAGTCATACATTTCAATCAGTGGACATTCAACCTTGATTATCGCAGAAAAAAAATAATTTGACATTCCATACACCTTTCTATTAATTACTTCCCTTAATAACATGTTTACTATTTACCGTGCCTTAACACCTCTCCCCAGGAGATGACACCCTTTGGAAGGTAGACGTGAAAATATGTGATTCAAGAGAGTCTCACTGTAATACTTCTCTCTCTCTCTGAATACTACTTTCTCTCCTTGTATTCACTGAAGTCACTGTTTGTAACTTTTTTCCATTTTCTTTAAGCCCATCCTTCATTCCTAGGATTATCAACATTAACTACAGAAAAGCCTCCTAAGGCTGATTGCTGTCCTCTTTTCTTTTTTCTCACTCTGATTTCCAGCATCTGTCCTTTACTTATTAGTCTTAAAATTCTGAACTACAAAGACTTTGTTTCTGTTTTTTCCTTATCTCACATTTATTCCTTTCCCTTCTTTCTTTTCCCCTACTCCTACCACTTCCCCTTCCCCTTTGGACTTTTTCTTCCTATTTCACATTAACAATTATACATTTTGATACTTATTTTTCCTTTCAGTTTCTCATACCAGAGAAACTATTCGGTATTTACACAAGTGTGTCCTGTTTATTTCACTTAAGAGTATCACCTCAATGTGCATCCATTTATCTATAAATAAACCTAATGAAAAAAATTCTAAACTATAAACCAACATTTAATTTATATCCATATCCATTAAAATTTCTGATAATGGTTGTATTTCATTTGGTGTAGAAGACAATGAACAATTGGAACATGAAGAATGAACAAGTGAAAACGTCTATTAGCTAATTTAAGGCATTTGTTAAGAAAATAATTGGGCATGAAAATATTTCACTACTATTCTAAGATAATTCAGTGTTACATATGTTTCAAAAATATACCAGGATCCTGATGACAACACGTCTATGAAAAGGAACACATTTACAGACACTAGAATGTGATAGAGACAAAAGCAGAATAAGCTATTAGAATGAAATACGACGAATCAACCTGTCAGCTTTAATCTTACTCATCCTAACGCATTCCCTTCCTAAGCATTTATTGCTGCTTAAAAGGTTGATTAAATAGTAATTACTACTAGAGAAGATAATACTGTCTGTCCTCTTATACAGGCTGAAGCAGAAGAATCAGAAGTTAGAGCCTACCCCGGGCAACTCAGCAATGTAGTGAGACCCTATTTCAAAATAAAAAGTGAAAAAGGAAAGGCTAGAGTTGTAGCTCGCTGCAAAGGCCCTGGGCTCAATCCCTAATACCACAAAATAATAATAATAAAGCATTTTAAAATTCAAATATATAAAATGATAAATTACAAAACAGTATAAATGTTGAAATTTAGATCCTTATTAAATGAAAATTTCTTAAATGCAGAGTAATTCTCCATTGTGGCAAGTGTGATTGAAAACAGGAAAGTAGAAAGCAGAATTGGCAATGGGGCTAATTCCTGTTAGCTACTCTCTAAATGCTTGGGGTAGAGTGAATTGGACATCATTCACCATGCCATTTCCCACATAATTATGGTCTTCAAATACTGCTTTATTTTCTGTAAATTCTTTCACATATTTTAAACAATAATAGAATTCTAAATTTCAGATGAACTGTATTTGGATTTTATCCTAGTTAGAACAAACCTAGATAAAAAGAGGCCTGTTCTTACTCTGATACCCATGAATTTCAAGGGCTGGTAGGCATCAGATAGTGTCATATTGCCACACTGCCCTAGGTCACAAACAGAAGCAGAGTGAATCAGTACAGTAGTAAAGGAGGCTTCTTAGAAGCTGTTTTCAAAACACAAGGGGCGGGGGGGAAGCAACCCCTTAACTACTCCCTGAGGTCACCTAAGTATCTCTCACTGCACTCATATTTGATATATCCTCTCTCCATCCCCTTCATTGGATCTGAAAGTGCTGTAGTCTTGGTGGGACCAGCCTTCTCAAAGGAAATTTGATGATGGAAGCATGGGTAGAAAGAAACATGATTAAAATATCTTATTTATAAAAATTGTAAGAAGACCTTTGAACATATGAATCATATGAATAAATAACCAGGTTCCTTCCTGGACCTTGGAGTTGGCAGGATCAGTATGGGGTCCTGGAGTTTAAACAAGAGCTCAGCAATTTAAACTGGTAGATTGAGAGCCTCCTAATCTTGTCTTAGAATAATAAAGTGCAAAACTTTTATGCAGAATAAAGTGAATTTTATTTTTTTCTTGCAGTGCTAGGGATTGAGCCAAGTGGACAAACTAGACAAATATTCCACCACTGAGCTGCAGCCCCAGACCCTACATTTTCTTTCTTCCTGATTAGGTTGACAAACAGGACTCCCAAGTACATCATCTGTTTTTCTCTCCCAGAGGTGCTGCTGTAACATTTTGCATGTGTTAGGTGCTCTGTTTTTCTATGCTTGGTTTATTTCACTTAACATAGGGCCCTCTGTATCAACCATTGCCACAAATGACACGATGTCATCATTTTTATAGCTCAGTAATACTCTATTGTGTGTGCATATTATATATATATATATATATATCACATTCAAAAATCTATTTATCTGTCAGTGGACATCTTTGGTTGATCTATATCTTGGCTATTGTATAGAAGTGCAAAGCCTATGGGTGTTAGGTATCTTTTTAATATAATGAAGTGGGATTTTTGGATCATATGATTATTCTATTTTTAATTTTTTGGAAAAAATTCCATGTTATTTTTCCATCATGACAGTATCAATACACATTCCCAGTAAATGAGTTTCCTTTTATCTGATTCCTTGACAGCTTTTGTTACTTTCCTTTAATAATAGCTATTTTAACTAGGATGAGATGATGTTTCATTATGGTTTTGATCTGCATTTCCATGATGCTTAGTGGTATTGAATATTTTCTTAATAATGCACTCATTGGCTATTTGTATATCTTTTTTTTTTAGAAAAGTCCTTTCAGATTATTTTCTCATTTTTATTTATTTATTTTTAAAACAAAATGAAATTTTACTCATGAGGCACTTCAAAAAAATTGAAAATATAGTGTTTCAGAAACTGATATACCAAACACATAATTTGATAGCAACTCAGATGAGTTTTGACAGAAGGAAAACAGGTCACATATTTATAGGTCATATGACACTTGACCATTCCCCTTGTCACAACATTAGGCCAGATTGCAGAAAGGCATTAAATATGGAAGTGCCTGATTATTTGGGAACAATTCACTTAAAAGGATCATAAGTGAGCTGGAAAACATGCTGAGCCAAAATTCATAAATAGAGATCCTGTATGTTGTTTTCTTATATTGATCTATATGGAACATATTTATAATAGTATCTAACATTTATTGGATATTTAAGAAACTCCATTTACACTGGACAGCTAGATGTTTATTTAACCCTCCTTTCTTGAAATGTCTTAGATGTCTATAAAGTGATATCTATCAATTCATATTACTAGCCTTATATTTCATAGTGCTTTACACTACATAGAACAAGTGAAATACTTTGAATAAATATCAAAGTTCCTGTCTATTTTTTGAAGATCGGTAACATTTTTGCTTGGTTGCAAAAGTATGCTTTCTTACCCTGAAAGTAAAAAGTGGATTTTCTTTTCTATAAAAATCTTATAATAATATTAAAGGAAAAAACTAAATGTTTCTTTATCTTACCATCTGAATGAAATAATTCACTTTGCACATTTCTTTATATTTTCTCATTTTAAAACTAGACTTGTATTCTGTTGCTTGAGTTCCTTACATAATCTGGATATTAACACTTTGGCATATAAATAGTTCACAAATATTTTCTTCCATTTTGTATGTTGTCTCATAACTCTATTGTTTTCTTTGCTGTGTAGATGCTTCTTAGTTTTATGTGGTCCCATTTTTCTTGTTTTACTTTTGTTGCTTTTTATTTGGGGATCTTATCAAAATAATTATTGCCTATACCAATATCTTGAAGTGCTTCTCCTATGGTTTCTTACAACCATTCCATAGTTTTGGTATTTACATTTATGTCTTCATCTGGAGTCAATTCTGATCCAATGGGCTGTGTGTCTGTTTCTACACCAATAACATTCAGGTTTTATTACTATAGCTTTACATTTTGAAGTCTGATACCAGGCTGTCTCCAGTACTGTTCTTTGTGTTCAGGGCTGCTTTGCTAATTCTAGCTCCTGTGTGTATCCATATTAATTCTGTGGTTATCTTTTCTAGTTCTCTGAAGCCTGTCATTGGTATTTTGGTGGGTATTGATTTGAATCTGTAGGTCGTTTTGAAAAGAACGGGCATTTTAACTATCTTAATCATTCTAATCCATGAGCAGAGGTGTTTTTCTAGTTTTGTGTATTTCCTCTATGATTTATTTCATCAATATTTTATATTTTTCATTATGAAGATCTTTGTTTCTCATTAAATTTGCTCCTGTGTGCATGTGTGTGTGTGTGTGTGTGTGTGTGTGCGCGCGTGTGTATTGGGATTGCTTTTGAAATCCACCAGTTTGTTGTTGGTGTAAAAGTTATTATTATTGCATTGTCCATTTTACAAATAGGGGGTTTGATGCATGGATGATCAGTTTAATTGTCTACCTAAGGTCAGACAGTGAGTAAAAAGTGAAAGCAGGATTTAAACCCAAGAAGTCACCAGAAGTTGCCTTCTTAAAATGATAAACTTTTGAGAATGGCTTAATAATGACATTCTTGAGGACAGCTTGTGCAGTATTCTAACACAGCTATACACTAAATTGCAGCTAGCAAATCCAGAAAAATAGTATCAGAATCTATGTGTCAAAATGAGTCTGAAAACTAGAGTCAGGTAGCTTTGAATCTGAATTGAGAGATACATCACCTTTATCTTTTAAATATATTCAGCTGTAATGAAGCATTCACTCTTAGAAAATGTAATTGCTTTAGGATGTCAGATATTCTATGAGAGAAACATGCTAATTTATATTAATTTGTTCACTCATTGAAATAATACAATAGAAGCACTGAAAGTGACTCCTGCTTCCTTAAATCAGCTTAAAAATGTCCAAATTGATGCACTCATATTAAGTGATGCTTATTTAAGAACATAATTGAGGCAATATTCTTTTCTTCATTAGAATGCTGTGCTCATGTACATGTGTAGTCTCACCCTTCCCCTGCTCTGCTTGCTCCTCAGGAAGAGACCTATGCACAGCTTCATTGCTAGGGCTTTTTTTTGTCCTCTAACTTTGGTTGTATTTGGCCAATGGAAGGAACCAAGAAACTAGAGTAAAGGAAGAGAGAGCAGTTTGAGTATTTGTTTCTCCTGCTCCTTTGCTTCCAGGCTGTGGTTTTGGCAACAGCTATTTTCCTCTACTCAGTGCCAGAACTATTGTTGGGTAACTTTCTGGAACCTGTTCACTCCATTAGGACTGCCTTGTCCTCTCTATAAGTCCAGGTGTGATAGTAGCTTCCCACTTTTGGTTCCTGTTGCCTGACTGTCCTTTACAAATGAATTCCTTTGCCCCTCCAGTGCCTTCAGATAGAGCACCTTCTAGATCCTGGCCAGTTAAGCACCTTGAGCATAGTATCTTTGACCACTGGCATCTGAAGGATGTCACAGCTGGATGATTCTGGAATATGCACGCTGGTGAAGAAAAGAGAATTTTAATTACATACCAGTAAGGCAGCACAAATTGGACCATGGATAATGTAGAGGAGATGGGTATCAGAGCTAATCCAGCAACTAGGAGAAGAATGAAAACATTGTGTCAAATATTTTCATTTCACGTAGTTCTCATGGAAATCATAAAGAGAGATATCTTACTTGTCATTGTAATATAAGCTTCTGGCAATAGCATGTATACAGGCAGGAATGAGTGGAAATCCTATAAATATCAACGAAAAGGAAAATAAGTAGGTAACTTTCATTATTGATGGCACTCCTAAAATACAGGATGAAATATGAAACTCAGATACTTTAGAAACAAAAATTACTGGCTTCCATATATTTGTGGAGGAAAGGTCATCTGTGCAGTCAAGCAATAAATATGATAAATTCTTGGGTATTTGTATTTCTGTGTCTGTAGACATATATGCCTGTACATTTTATTCCAATGTGAGTTATTCAGAATTGGTGTACTCCACAGCTTAAGTGAATAAATGCACTGATTTTTTTTTTGGTACCAGGGATCGAACTCGGGACCTTGTGCTTGCAAGGCAGGTGGCAGAACCACTGAGCTAAATCCCAGCCCTATAAATTCACTGCTTAAATCCCAAAGCCTAGAAGAAATTCAGCATTCATATACTTTCTGGGAAATGGAATTGACTGAATTTGCAGATGATAAAAGTGGGAAGAGTTGAGACTGATGAGACTTTCTACTATGAGAACCAGATTCACACCCATTTTCTGAAGCAGAAAGAGAAAGAAATTATTATTTTTGTTTTTGAGGCAGGGTCTCTCTGTAGTACAGGCTCACTATGTAGCCCAGGCTGGCCTGAAATTCAAGGCAATCCTCCTGCTTCAGCCTCCTGAGTTCTGGGGTTACAGATGTGCACCATCATGCCTGGCCAGAAATTATTGTTTGTACCAGAAATGTTGTATGCTTTGAACCTTCAAATTAGATCTATCAGAAATGAGGTGAAATGAGAATGTACTGAAAATTGTATGTCTGAGTATTCATGCCTTTTTACATTTTTATCTTGATTTAGACAGATGACAAATAGATGATAGATAACTAATACTTCAGATTTGTTTCTGGAAACTAGTCCTATTGAAATAATTTACAAGATTTTATATTTTTCTTTACTCCAATTATGCCAGAGTGTATCTCTGATTTTTTATAAATAATATTATGTCAAGATATCGTGTAGAAAAAAATAGATCTTTTGCATACCTGTATTTAATCCTGACGCAATTTAATACAAACACTAATGTTTCTAAGATGGACTCAAAGCTGGTTAAGCCTATGTCCTCTTTGCATGTGATGAGAAAGGAAATGCAGAATAGGGCAAAGAATAGATCCCCATTACATGATTTTAATCCCATTTAATTGTCGCATCTTCAGCCACCGTAAACTATTCCCTAGAATACTGGGCATAAAAGGGACAGTGTGTTATTAACCAGCCTGTGACTACTGAAAACAATGGGTCAGTGATGCTTTACCTTAAAGATTTCAATGTCCAGCAATAAGCAGCGAGAATCACTGGATGGTCTTTAAAACGATGGATAAGGAGTACACCTTTATTATCAAAACACCTTGCATCCTCCAAAAGTTTCCTGGCTCATCTGGATTGGCAGATGTGCATAGTGGCACTTACCCCAGCCGAGAAAATAATACCACATCAAGTGTTGCTTCTCAGCAAACACAGCCACTACGATGAGCGTGTGCAGGTAAATGCCTTCACACAGCATCCAGAAGTAGTTACAGCCCATGAGGTACAGATGGATGAACTGGGACACTTTGCAGCTCACCTGTGAGCAAAATAATGTGAGCTTTGTTTTTCTTTGGTTTGAGATCCATATAAACTGATAGTCTAATTTATTTCAAGAAACACAGAATTTTCTGGGGTTTTTTTCACAAAAATTTGTATACTAATGATGCAGATTTGCAAAATGCCAGTCTTTATACACACCAAATGTTGCCTTTTCTGTTTTAAGCCACAGACTCCAAAGACTTATCACAGCAGGTATTCCAGAAAATTCTGTAAACCCGAAATCTTCCTCATTTACTGAATGTATGCTTTCCTAAAGTGCTCTGGTCATTAAATAATTTATGAGTACAAATATTTCATGCATTCATAACTTTAAATTTATTTTAATTATGAATCCTTTGTTTCATTCTGTTGGAAAAAAATCTTAATAATTTCAAAAACAATTCGTTAAAGGTCCCATAGTTTTGCATACTGAATGTTAATAATTGCAAATACTTATTAAATAGTAATCTAATAGGCCCATATGTTATTCTATCCAAAAATAAAGTACGAGCGTTTCTTGTAGAAGTAAAGAAGAAAGAATATAGTATTTCTTCCTCTTTTTCTGAGGTCTCCACTTTCTCTACTCATATTGAAATAGGAAGATGGAGTGTCAAACATTGTAAAGAAAATACAAAGAAGTAAGAGATACTGTTTACTCCCTTAACAGGTATAAATTTAAAGCTCTTCCAGATATATGTAGCAAATTACTCCCAGCAGCTTCAATTTACAATCTAAGATTCAATAAATACTTAGTGGATATTATAACTACTTTTGAAACAATGTTTTTTCATTAAATAGAAAATTTGAAGTGAAAAGCATTGAAAAAATAAATGTTGGGATATCATAGAATACTGATAGCATTTGTATAGGAGTTAAAGTTTTTACTTATATTGTTTTATTTAATGATTAAAATAATTCTGTGAGGTATGTATTATCAATGGCCAAGCATTTTATTGGTGAAAAACTGACTACTGCAAAAGAAGAATTATTTCCTAATGTTTACATATCAATCAAAACTGTACCCTAAGCACAAATCTTGTAAGTTCAATTTTACTTATACTACTATACACAGTCCTCCTGCCTGAATGACTTTATTATTTATTTCATTCACTTTATTTATTTCTTCATTAAGTATATGTGCAAAATCCATGATGTTTAATTTTAAATAATGAATCTCTACATGAAACACAACATTATATTAAAATCCTCTCATAGGTAAAAATGATTTATTCAACTATATGTAGAAATGACAGACTTGAGCTTCAAGTCCTTATTTATATATTCTTAGATATTCATATCGAATTGATATTCTAATTTTTTATTTCATTAAAATGTAATCTATACAATATCATGATAAAAAGAAATTAGAGCATGATTCAAAAATAGATTTCTGTGCAGGTTGTTGGTGATATAAGTAACATATTTTTCTAAGAAATTAATAAAAATAACTAAAGTTCATTTTTTTTTTGCAAAATCACAAAATTTTAAAACTCTTACTCCACATCTTTATGACAAATCTGAATCTCCTTACTCCAGAGCAGTGCACTGCATTATGACAGGATGTCGGCCAGTTTTTATATTGCTAATTATATCCCAGTGTGTTTCCTACCCAGTGACTCTGGAGTGGAACCTACATTAACCAATCCGGATGCACATGTACAAACAATGGAGGAAATTTTAGAACTTTGGAAATCACCCTAAAAACACACATAAAACATACATGAGAGTATTGTTTATTGACCCATTGGGTGAAAATTCCTTCCTTTCTCTGATTGCAGTAAATTCATAGCTTAATCTTTTAAAAAACACTACACACACACACACACACACATAAACACACACACACACACAACCAAAACTGTATTACATATACTACAAACATTATGAAACTGATATTTTAAAATTGAATATGTTTGTTGTAAGTGAAACATCTGAATTCAAACACAGGTTGCACATGAGTATAGGTTGCCTAAAATGTATGGAAATGTACAAGTAAATTTTAACATACTTTTAAAGCATGTCTTGTAAAGAAACAATCTATAAATATTCATTGAAACAATGAGGGCATAGTAGGTCTATTTAAAATTTTATATTATCAAAGTTTAACATTACTTAACAAGTTCATAATTCTTAAATTTCCTTGTTTTATTGATTTTTTTAAAGTCAGCCTGATGTCATAAACACAATTTAAAATTTGTATTTCCATGATTTTTTCTGATTACACAGTTAGTTGCTTTAATTGGGTTTTAAAATTGGATCAATTAAGTGTTATATAGTCAGGAGCCCTATGTCTCACCAGTTAATGCTCTCGTCATAAAAGAACTGGAGATATGTGTAATATGTAAAAGATAGAAACAAAGAGGGCCGGGGATTAGCTCAGTAGTGCTGCCGCTTGCCTCGTAAGTGCAACGTTCCGAGTTCGATCCCCAGTACCAAAAATAAAATAACAACAGCAACGAAAAGATAGAAACAAAGAAATGTATTCTTTCTTTTGTTATGCACTGTTTATATCTTAGGAAATAGACTGTAACATAGCTATATACATTCTCTATATGTCATACCTGAAAAAAAAATGTGCATGCCTACATAATTCCAGATACACTACACATGGCAGGTGCTACAACTTGACTCTTCCCCTGCCTTTCCCCACTAACCCTTGAATTTAAGAGATGCAAGCTTGTTCAACTTACAGGGTTGGTGGCCACCAGGGCCTGGTTGTTGGCAACTGCGGTGAGGTGAATGATCGTCACAGTGGAGTTACAGACAAAAGAGAAAAACAGATTTTTGTGCAACGTAATCCTTTGGCAACTGAGGCTCCTACAAAGCAAGGAAGCAAAATGTGTTGGCATCATAAAATATTTCCACATCTTTATTAAATATCATGCAAGTAAAGTACATTCCTAATTCACAGAGGCTGCTCTAATTTTGGAAAAATTGTTTCTTCTTCACATGCCTTCACGATAAATCTTAACTAAGGAAAATATATAATTCCTGAGACCCTAGGGGCAAAGGAGTTACTTTTTGAGTGCAGGGATGAAAAAATAAATCTGCCTGTCTTAGATCTTTATATTAATATCTTCTGTTAATTTCTGAATAGAATTAGTATTTTTTATTTATTCTGCAAAAGCAGAAACTGAGATTTAGTAGAGCTAAATAACCCATAATTTATGCTGCTAATTAATTTGAACACTTTGGATTTATCTGTTAAATTCTCATACAGAAATGTGCTTTCCTGACCCCACATAGATAGGCTCTTTTGTTTAAATGGTCTTGTGCTTGTGATGGTAATGATTATGAAAAAGTTATCATTGTATTCAGAGTAGATGAACTGATAAAAATATAGACATAGCAACCAATGAGAATTGTTCAGTTCTATTGATTTCTTTCTGATTGGCCTAGGCATACATAAGATATAAAAACAATGTTGCTTCTACTGAAGTTCTTCCTGTCTAAAATAAATATACAAGAAGAGTTCAATAGAAACAAATGTGGAGTTTAATAGAAATAGATTTCGTGAAAAGACATCATCAGTGTGATATATGATGCCACCTTTCAGAATGAATCCATAGTCACTCTAAGATTGTCAGTACGTGTCTTCCTTACACACACCAAGAGAAAACCTACATACCACTTATTCATCAAGCATTCGTTTGTAGACTTTGGGTAGGAAACATTTTAAAATAATAGAATGGACTCCACTTGAAGCTGAATGTTTAATGTTAAGGCTAAGCACATATGTAAGAAGATATTAGAGAGCATTAAGATCTCATGTTGTGTATTTTACTAAATTAAGATATTAACATGGCTATCCTGGATAATCCATTGTAACTCAAACCAAAGATTCCTTCTTTGAGAACATTAAGGGGATTTTCACTTTATTTTATTTCCATATCTCTTTATATTAAAAAGAGAGAGAGAGAAAGAAATCCAATGCCCAGTATATTAGATTTACAATAAGATACCAAAGCTTTCTATGTTTTAAAATACAAAGTTTGGGCTATATTACTTCTGAAATTTCTTTCAGCTATAGGTCTATGAATTTATACATCCCTCAAATATTTTGAAGAACATGGAAATAGATGCAATCCAAGTTAGTATTTGAGGATTGCCAATATATGCTTCCCATAAAATTGGGTGCTTTTAATGAAGATTTATACAAAAGGCTGGCTGGACGTGATGGTTCTCGGAATGATAATTGAGTGGGGGTGAAGACAGTCATGTAGCAGGAAGTATATAAAATCCAGCTGAAGTCCATCAAAATATAAACAACAAAGAACTGCTAGTTCCATATTTGAGAGTCATTTACTTTGACTGGACTTTGCAGTGATAACAATGAGAGAGGCAGGCAGGGTCAAGCTTGATCTGCAAAAGATTGATAATATTGTATAGAAAAGAAAAGTGTTTGAAAAAATTGCACAAAAAAATTAGCATCATTCTTATTATTATCAAAAGAACTGAAACACTGAGATAAAGACATCCCTATTTACAATAAAATTCCACAACAGTGGCATGATTGCTGTGTGCTCACTGGGAGTGGAAAAAATAAGAGGAAAGGTCTAGTAAATGACATTCTCTCAGATACAGCACACGTGGTTTCTTTCTATAATGCATCACTCTTCTATAATGAAACATGCAAGCATACGAAATTTGTTCATTTGTTCTTATTTTAAATGCCTACTTTGAGCTTACCCTGTGTCTATGCAATGTTTCATTTTGTTTAGGGAGGAACTTCTTAGTCATGTAAATTTGCACCTTTTTAAAAGCAGGATTTAATTATATTAGTTAATTAAAATGATGGGAAAAATACAGTTTTTCTTAACTGAAATATTTTTCCCTTTTCACCTGAACACCCTTACATCTAGGTATATTTGTTAACATGTGTGTAGATTTTATAGTTTTTGAATTATGAGAAAAAGACTGGATAGCTTTACTCAGTCAGTAAATCTGAAATATTTGTAAAGAGTAAACTGGAATGAAGGAAAACAAACAACAAAAATAGACTTTACAAAATAGCAATACATGAATGAGGAAGAAAGAGCTGAAAGAGAACCCGAGAAGCTTGATACAAAGATGCTATTAGTAATGGCCACTTGGTAACTCTGAAAGATATTCAAATAAAATGCAAGCCATAGTCAGTTACAAAACAGTTTTAATTTGCTTTGTGTGCACACTTTAATATTCTGCCTTGCTTGAGGGAGATCTGTACCAGTCTTCTACTCCAGTTCCCCTTCCCATGGTTCTACTCCCAGCTCAGTCTATTTTTAAAGATGAAGACTCAGAAGTGAGCTATTATACACTCTCTTCTACAGATGTGCCTGCTGCAGGAATATGCACACCATAAGAGGCTCCTTATTCTCCTAATATGTGAAGGGTATGCTAGATTTCTCTTTGTTGTTTTGGGCAAAAAATGAAATCCACTTAACTTGACTTAATATACGAAATAAACACTAAATATTTAGGAGAATGATGAAAATCATTTCATTACTCAGACTAAAAAACTTATTTTGAGTATTTTATGAAACTGCTCAAATATTATTGTCGATCTAGGTAATCCATCCTATATAATTCAAACCAGAGACTTCTCGTTTGGAAACCCTGAACACTGAATTTAGCTGTCCAAATTGATGTAATGAACTGAATCACTTCCAAATCATATCATTTTGTGTTGTGAAAATAGATCCTACTGTCTAAAACATTAACCTATTAGTTTAGTTTCTTCTATTTGTGCCTCAAGGCATTGTACAACTTAAATAAATGCAGACAGATGGTTTCTATCAATGTCTTATGGTAAAAATATCCCAGAGTTTTCTAGCGATGCATATTGTTTTCTCCCAAACGTATTCATTAACACATATAAGTGGATTCATACAAATGAAATCAACTTGTAAATGAAAATCCAAAACACGTAAACAAATGGTTTGATTAAATGAGACTTCAAAATTTGAAGGGTTTTTTTTTCAAATTTTAACCTATAATCAATTTTTCCTACATTAAATTCTTTTTTTTTTTTTTTTTTGGTACCGGGGATCGAACTCGGGTACTTACGCTTGCGCAGCAGGCGGGTGAAACCACTGAGCTAAATCCCCAGCCCCTACATTAAATTCTTAAATGTTCTTATTTTACTCAGTATATGAAAGTCAATTGTTTATAGGCTTAGTGAACATTTCCCAAAAACCTCTCTCAGGTCTCCTTGAATTTTATAATATCCCTTTCTACTCTAGCATAACCACAGAACAGAAAGTGCGGTGGACAGGTCTGAGTCGTTTCCATTTCATATTCTTTACGCATAATTATCTGAGAACACCAGTTCAATGTGCAACTTTGGCAAGCAGACTTCTAGAGACAGTTGGTGCAAGTGTGTAAACACCATTATACCTCATATATAACGTAACCAAGTCTTTTTGGAGCAATTCTCTTCTGGAACAATTAGAAGTAGGAATCTTTAAATCAGCACTTGTTCAACTTGTTTTGAAGCCCAGCCTAAGAGTGAGTCTGGACTCAGCGCTCTACTTAGATATGAATTTGAGTTACTCTTATCTAAGATCTCTGACCCCCAGTTTCCTTATCCTTAATATAGGATCTTTGTAGGGTCCGCTTGAAAGTTAAGTGAGACAATTAACCTATGGTTAACATAACATCGAACCTATGGTTAACACTCAGTCTTAAGTTAGATACCATATTTAACATCGTTATCACTGATTTTAATCAAATACTCTTGAGTTTTCATCACCAATAATAAAATAACATCACATTTCACCTCAGGATCATAACACTGCCTCTTTGGTAAAACAAATATTTTAAGTAACTCAATAAAACAGTAAAGAAACTATCATCTTTTTGTATAAAATACAAGGACTTAGCTTTAGGATGACATTTTCCATACAGCAAAGGGCAATAGAACAGGCAACCTACACTACTTTCCCAAGGAATTGCATTGTTTCTGTAGCTGTCTCAGAATCATCATGTTCTTAATCTTGGTGTCCCTAGCTATGATGTTGACCCTTTCTTCAATTTTCCTGCCGCTAACATGGACAAAGACCTTTCTTTTGTTTTCGTTTGATTTGGACATGAGGGAGAGATTTCCAAACTACTTTTCTCAATATTAATTATAAGCAAGAGGAACCATGCAATGAGGGATCATGTAATACAAACAAGGTACGTCTAACTTGGTCTACAAGATACTGCTTTATCCTACTTCATCTAATTTATTTCTCAAATGCTCCGATCTTTTTTTTTCTTAAATTCTTTTATTGGTATATTTTAAGTATACAACATAATTACATTTCTCATTGGGAACTTGTACCTTTATATGATGCATCTTGGTTCTTAGTTTTTCCCCATCCCCAGCCCTCCATTCACCCCCTCCACCCTTCCCTATTTACTAAGACTTTATTTCCATTTTTTCCATTTCTCATCATTTTTCCTTTCCCTTCTTTCCTTTCCCCTGCCCCTCCCACTACCCCTACCCCTTTGGGTCTTTTCTTCCTATTTTGCATTATCGATTATTCATTCTAATCAATGATACATTTTAGATATACAATATAATGACATTCATCATTAGAAATTTGCACCTTTACATAGTCTGTCTTGGTTCTTATTTTTCATCCTTGCCGAGCCCTCCCTTCAACCAATCTTTTTTGAATAACACACTGACCAGTAATTTAAAGGAAACATCAAGTCAATCTCAATGTTGCCAAAACAGGCAGAAAACCAACAAATCTATTAAAAGAATAACCACTATCTGTATATTTGATCTACTGAATTGAGCTTTGAATGGATAGAATTGTGTATGTGTGAGGAGGAGTAGTGGTAAGCTA